CGGGCATTTGCGCGCCCTTCTTCGTATATATATATATATATATATAAATTGAATAAATTGAAGAAAAAGGCACGCAACTTGCAACTATTATTCCTACTCTTTATTAGAACGTTTCGGCACTTCGGCCTTCTTCTTCTTTTTTGCTTATAGACTTGTTAGCGTTTCAGAAGGTTAACATTTGCCTCTCCTCGATCTTTGCGATTCGCTGAGTAAAACTTGGCTATAAAGTAATGGTAAATTTAAAGCAGCTCATTTTAGGTTAGAAAGAGAAGAGTCCCCATCCTTTTTCAAATGTTTGTCTAAAACAAATTTTGATCTTATGCAATTGGTACGTGGGTTCCATTTGAGGAAGCTGATGTTAACTCCTACCACTTACCTTAATTGACGATAAAAGTCATTAAAACATCAGTATGTGTACACAAAGTATTTAATGAGCAGAGTATATTCACAAWAGAACCCATAAATTAATGTTATATACATGTCAAATAAGGAACGTTTAGTCAAGTAATATAAATAACCATATATAATATATAAACCCACAATAAAGGATTGATTTATACTGCTACGTTTTCAATTTGTTTCTCAAAAATCTTAAAGGCAAACTTGGCTGATTGTTACATTTATACCCTGATGCGCTACCGCACAAAATTTGAAAATAGAAAGCATATTATTATGGTACATATGTTATTTATAGTTTATTTTTTCTGTACATTTTTTCACACAATCATATTGTCCAATTCTTGCAATTTCTTTTTATGTGACTATGCGAAGTGCCTTGTCACGAGACTAGTTTTTGATCCCGCGAGGCAAGGGATCACCAACGTCATACCACAGGTAACCCGCATTTGAGCGCGCGCCGATAATAGTACTATACCGTAAATTAAGAAAAGTGTGCGCATTCTTCGTTCTTTSCTTCTCTGAAGCAATAGTTGGGCGGCCTATGCTCAAACCCTCACTTGTACCCGCGGTTACATCTGCAGGTAAGATACACAGGGATACCAACATATGTATATAAACAACTTTAGAAGGCACAGGAAAACTGGTCACTTTATTTTGACCTGTGGCCGGTGTAGCCATGTACCCGGCTATAGGTCATAGTGTTTTCTTCGATCTATAAAAAAAAAAAAAACAGGAAGACCATTCGCTTTATTTTGACCTGTGGCCGGTGTAGCCATGTACCCGGCTACAGGTCATATTGCTTTCTTCGCCTCTAAAAAAAAACACAGCAAGACCGTTNTCTTGCACTAGCTTCTCCTTTGACATCTCTCTTTAATTCATGAGCTAGTGCTGTCTTGTTGGTAGGTGTTCTCAGCGAGCTGCTTCCGCATACTGCCTTGAATTAATCTGGCCAGTCTTTTCTCATGCCAGAAAATGTGGGCAAGGGTATTTTCGATCTTCAACCTTAAATCAGATGAAGTTTTAGAAGAAAAATTCATTCTTGGGGACCAGTGAGCCCAGGAAGCTTGACTAAAGGTCGGTGAATTTCCCGAGTGAATTCATAATACCTGCATGTATGTTTGCATTGCTATTGCTTGAAGTGAAGGTCGCACCTGGATTATTGTGACCTGTAGACCATATGTTGCAATGACTAATGTTCCCATGAGGAGAAGTAGTCACATTGACTGAAAACTGGAATTGGTGGTGGTACTCTTGACTGAACACTTATTTGACTAAACCTGTTGTGGTGTGCAAAATATTTGATTCATTGGTTCAGTATAACGTTGTAGAATATAAGAAGAAATGACCATTTTATTCAAACGGTTGTTGCCGATTTTAATGCCGCTGTCCTTGTTGAACCATAGCCATTGCTGTCTCGACAGGAACGTTATTCAATTAACGGGATTAAAGTCACTTTGCCTTGCTTTAATCCCGTTAATGAATAAGGTTTCTTCCGAGGTTTCTTCTGTACATATACATGCCTGCAAGGAAGATCTCCAATCATTGGCAGCCTTTTCGATCAGTAATTTCGCCTTTAATTACCAAGGAAATAGGAAACTGCGTACGTTGTGTTCCAGGTGCATGACGGACAAGGCGAGGTCTTGTGCAGCTGCCTAGCATCGGTTGGTTTGCGTCTTGCGTGCGCTAATTAAATGCACTTATGCAAGTTTGAGCTAGGTGATCTGTGTATCGTATTATGTCTTTTTTGAACTTCAAAAAGGTCAATAATGGATGAATAAATCAATCTTGAATTATTAAAGGCCGTGTCACACTAGAGTTTTTTTCGTGCAACTTGTGCCACACAAAAAAATGTTGTAAGTTGCACGAGCGTTTTTACGTGCGACACCCCCTCGTGCAACTTGAATATTTCATTGTTTTTTGAGAGAAAAGTAGAACTGGCTTCTACTTTTTTCAACATTTTTCAGAACAACGCGTGTGTGACATGGTCTCTTGCAACTTCCAATATTTTCAATTAGGCGCACGAACCAATAAAAAAGCGAGAATCTGTCCTGCTGTCACTTGTTGTAATAATCATCAAAGATCGCCGACAAAAGCGATAATTTTGAAGAAGAAAACGAAACAGAAAGTGAGGTGATCGTACATTTTAAATTTACGCGTGCAACTTGAGCATTTTCTTGCACGAACTAAGTTGCAAGGGAATTTTCTAGTGTGACATGGCATCGTGCAACTTACAACTTACTTTTTTGCAATTTGCACGGAAAAAAACGCTAGTGAGACGGACTTAACTTATCTTAACTTATGCAAATTCTAGTGTTTCCTAAGAAAAAAGTTATTGAGAGTCTGAATATAGGATATAGTGTTAAGTGCTATAAATACTACTTATTAACCGAGAGTGAGGTCATTACAGGGAAATCTCAGACCGAGGTCTTGGAAGTATGGACCGAGCGATAGMGAGGTCCATACAAACAAGACCGAGGTCTGAGATTTCCCTGTAATGACCGAACGGACGAGGTTAATAAGTTATTTATTATATGGCTCTCTTAATAAAAAATATATAAAATATATAACGTGTCTATAACGTGAGCAAAATAAAAGAACGGAAGTGATTTAACACTTCCTCTTGCGCGCGCATTTGTTCATTCAATGTCATGTCCAGTGCCGAAAAAATACAACAATTTGTTTGAAAATGTGTTTAATATAGCACAATTTATGTCACAAAACCGTTTTTATTCCACAAAACACGGTAATTTAGCTTAAAAAGTTTCAGAACATCCAAAAGTTTGTAAAAATAGTTGGAAAATACGTCAAAATTAAGACGATTGAAAACGTCAACACGTGCAGACCTTGCAGTGATTTTAGCGAATGTTCAACTTTCCTCGTCACTCTCGATTTTTCCGTTGTTGGATCTTGACTGTACCTTTGAAAATTTTGAACGGACAGTCGGATATTTTGCTGATGTTAGCTCCACNCAAAGCCCAGTATAGGAAATGATTGTCTTACCTCATTCTCTATTGAAATAGATAATGATCAAATGTAATTACATTTTTCATTTCATTTTATAGGACAGCTGCTTATTGCTAACGCTGACTATTGTTTTGACAATGATTTGTGAATACTTTAGTAAATTAAGAGATTATATACTTCACCACTCTAAGTTCCATGCTCAAATATATCGTGATAAAATAAAAATCACTTATTCAATTGTATTGTATTTCAGGAGGTAGTATTTGACCAGTGAAGCTAACAGGTCCATACTCATCGAAAATGTATCGATGCTTGATGGGAATTATATTCCTGATTTGGAAAGTGCAATGTGTCCAACGTCATCGTAAGTAATACAAACAAAAATGAAATATTTTTCTTTCTTTCTTTCGCTTAAAAACTTTTATTTTACTTTCCTTTGCCCACGAATAACAAAAATTRAAATACAACATGGGTATTATTTTCAAAACGTCATTAGCAGCAATCCCGGACAAGATGGCGCTAATTTTGATATGCATGCACTTGAACGTACAATTTCAACGTGATTTCGGATCCGCCTATAAAATGTATGGGAGTATAATTTAAAAGGAAAACTATGTCTTGTCACTTTTACAGGGGTATTTTCCGCTCTTCGATCGATCAGCTTATTAGACCTAAATGTACTTACCAGAATAAATTTAAAATGCCTACATCAACATTTTGTTATGTCAAAATACAGCTCCAATTACAGAAAATCTTCCAGCATACATTCTTACTAAATGTCCAACAAAATCATCAATTAAAAGTCCACACTGCAATGACATAAATCCATTTTCCGCTGTTTCACACCACTTATTAACAGGGCATTTGTTTTTTTCCGTATTTCATAAGGTATTTTCATCTCTTCAGTTCGATATATGTCTGATAGAAATTGAGGGGAAACGCACTTCGCACGCGTGGAAGAAAAATAATCTTGCACAATATCCAAAAAGTAATGAAAAATTCCGAAAAGTTAACAGTGTCTTTAAATTTTTATTTTCAACACTCTACTTAAGAATATACAAAAACGTTTTAGCATATAGGAAGAAATATATTTGCCCGCATTTATGTGGATAAACTCTTCACGATTAGCATTTTTACTAAAYTCACCATGACAATGTGCAAAGAAATCGCACACGGCTCCAGTGCGGGACGGACACAGAGGCGGGTTTGTAGTACGTATTCCATATATGGCACAAACTAACAAGCGAATAGAAGCACCTAACAAGCGAACAGGGGTCCATACTTTTTTTCACTTGTATATTTTTCTACAGTTTTTTTATCGACTTATTCGAGCTTTTTAGCTACGCCTTAACTTACTAAAAAAATTTTTATCAAATTTTAACTTAGAATTATGAATTTAACATTTTATAGCCTGACCCGTCCTTTTCCCTAAACCTAACCCTTCGACTACAAATGTAAAGCGCCGTAACTAACTTGACCACGAGAGATTACGCTGGCAAACAACGAATTGTTTGTGACATTTAAAGTATTTTGCATTGCTAAATAGCACCGGTAAATTGGGATTCCTTAGGTGCCGCTATTCGCTTGTTAGGTGCTTCTATTCGCTTGTTAGGGGCCTCTATACGCTTGTTAGTTAATACCATATATGGAATACGTACGACAACCCTACCTCCGGACACATATATACATAATATCGTTGACATTATTGGGAACCCTGTGTCAGTAGGGCCACATGGGTCACATGCATATATTGTAATCGGGTTTTTCAGCTACGTGAAGCCTTCACAACTAATTTTGTAAGCCTCAATAAATCAAAGCTTTCCATGAGTTCCATTTTCCACTCTTTACAATCCATTATACGCAAACTAAATTTGTCTGCGAGTCGCTTTTTGTGGTAAAATATCAGTCATGTTCGATTTTCCTTGACAAGGAAAAATGTCAAGGACGAAATTTGCTCGTGTAAATGGACAACAAGGAAAATGTGGCAAGGAAAAATTGTCAAGGAAAACTTGTTCTTCGTTTACACTTTCAAAGAAACATTGTCATGGAAGAATTGTCGAGGAAAACCTGTTGACCATTTACACGGACAGTTTTTCCTTGTCAAGAAACCTATAAAGGAAAAATTGCTCGTGTAAACAGCGCTTAAGTTTTCAGTTAAACAAACTTGTGAATGATAAGACTAGTACGGACTTCTTCTTGAGTTTGGATTTGAGCCAATTTATTGAAAATTCATCGCCGATAAAGTGATAATCACCTGACACTTCTAGTCCATAGCCTCCTCCGCTGTTGTTGCGCTTTCCCGTAATAACACCCTTTGTAGTGTTATTGGTCTACAACGTGGTATTCCGTAGGATCCAAGAGTTTGTTTCGCTTTTGGCGGTTTTTTTTTGTGGTAATTTTTGCGAAAACGGGGAAAAAATTCAGTAACTCTTACTTCCACTGGCCTTCAGCCTTTAGAGAAACAAAGTAGTTCTATCAACGTGACAAGAAAGAGTATCTGTAAAATAAATCGCTTAACCATTTAATCGCACTATCTTAATGCTAACGTTAATCATTAAGAATATTTTTTAGGACTATTGAACAAGAATATTTGCCGTCATTTAGCCGTTTTTATGATCCATTTGTATTATAAGGACATTTCTACTTGCGGACACTTGTTTCGTTTCCCAAGGGTGTCCGCTTACGGGAGATTCAACTTTACTGCTGACCGTTTGACCGCGGTCAGTAGAAAAACGT